TCCCAATTTAGTCTTTCGTATTAAAAAGCAAATACACCTAAATGCCCTTTGAAAATCTGTGCCCCTGCAGACCGTGCCCTCTGAGGGGGGCTTCTCTGCAGCACAGCCCAGGGGTCCCCCACCCACCAGGTTGGCAAGAGGCGGGGCTCAAAGTGAGCGGCAGAATCTGTCCCCCACTGTGTCCTCTGCCCTGTGGGCTGGGCCCATGGAAGGACCCACGTGACTGACAGGAGGAGGCTTTACCGAGGGCTGAGGGGCCCTTCCCCATGCTTTGAGGAGCTGAGGGAGCCTTGAGGGGTGGCAGAGTGAAAGACAGAGAGAGTAGGTGCTCAGATGTTGTGGGGGGCCCAGACACTCTGGGTGAATCCACAGGGAGAGAAAAGGAGGGAGGGAGGTAGGGAAAAAGGGGCTGGGGAGGCAGGGTGTTGGGTGAGGAGGGATGATGATTTCCTGCCACCCAAGAACATTTTCAGAAACTTCTGGAAGTTCCTATGGGCACGATGTGACAATGAAGCTCCCAAGATGTGGGCCATCTCAGATGCGCTGCACACATCTGCTAACTGCCCGAAAGGGAGGCAGGCAGGCATGGAAGCCATGTTGGAAGCACTAGAACAAGTGTGTCAAACTCAAGGCCCGTGGGCCGTATGCGGCCCATAACACATGTTTTTGTGGCCCAGTCAATATAACGGTATGTAAGAAACATGTTAATAAGAATTTTGTAACTTAATTTTTACAATATCCTATTATATGTAATTATTAATAATGAACTACAACGCTTGCTAATGACTGGTTACTATAATCGTGTTGCATCCATTTCCCTTCCTCACCTTCCGCACAGGCGCACCATTTCTCTCCGCTAATACCAGCAGCAAATATTTTAGCAGCCGATGGCCACGTCATCAGTCTTGGACTGACTTGTTTGGTGTACGCAACAGGAAATATTTTGCTTTTGGAGAAGAAAAATGGGTTTGTTTGCGTTACCCTTATTAATTTGTGCAGTTATTCAGTGTCCAGTAAGTTAATGTTCAAGAAAAAAAATATTAATTTGTATTAAAATGTTCTATTATTTTATGTTAACCATGACTCATTTATTTCAGCCCTTTGTATTCAGCATGTCTCTATTGAAATAAACCTACGTGTCTATGAAAATGGAAGCTTTTGTTTTCTTGCGGACCACATACACTTCAGCCTTGTTTATCTGGCCTGTGTGAGCCTTTGAGTGTGACATACTTGCACTAGAGGGACTGGGAATATTTACATCATAGCACATGCAAACAACTCCCTGACGATTGTCACCCCAACAGGCATGTGCTGGAGCTGTCACATTCTCCAGGCGGGGAGGGTCATGCCAGAGGGAACAGAGGTTGGTGGAAGGGGAGAGACCACGGCCAGCCCTCAGTGCCCTCAGGGTCAGGCTGGGGAGGGCACCATGCACCGAGGGGCACCAGCACCAGCTGCAGGGCTTGGCTACGTGCTCCCTGACTCCCGGGGGGAAAGTCCCCAAATGTGACAGCCAACCTCGCACTGCCCAGCACCGTGACCCACTAGGCCATTTCATACCTCCCAGTTCCTCTCACCTGTATGCACCCCACCCTCAGGACAGGGAGGGGCCCAGGACTCAGGGAAGAGAAAGACCCAGAGGAAAGAAGGACCCACTTCTCCCTGGTCCCAGCTTGGGGTGACTCTGGTGTCCCCGATGCTGGGCTCCTGCAGATGCAACAAGGCTTTCCCATCCTCATCCCGGGAAGAGGCCCTGGAGCCTGGCAGCCCAGGAGGAGGGGTCTCTGGTCGGGGTCTCCATGGCCGCCCTAGAGAGGTGTGCACACCGGGCCTGGGTTAGCTCGGAGGGCTGGTGCCCAATCAGCTGCTCAGGTCCACAAAGGCCAGGGATTGACAGGCAGAGCGAGAAGTCCCCCTGACAGGTGGTGGCAGGAGCTGATGGAAACTCACCAGGGCAGCAAGGCCTGTGCCTAGGGATGGGTGGGTGGACGGACGGACGGACGGACAGAAAACACAGAGGCCAGCTGATGGTGGCTCATGGGAAGGGTGGGAGGAATCTGACCCCCTCCCCCCACCCTCCAAAATGCCCTTACCCATTCCTCTCTCTGCAGCTGACCCAGAACTTGCCTTCAGGGCCAGGTTCTCAAGACATCACACACCTTCCACTCGGGCTGGTTAGGGCGAATTCCAAACCAGCCATCAGAAGGAACACCTGCTCCTGCTTCCACAGACATTTTCTATCTGAGGGCAATTGTTTGTTTTCCTTTTCTGTCGCGCCCCCCCCCCCCCCCAATTACAAGAGCTAAATTAAAAATTTTTTTAATTGCTTATTTTGGTAGCAGAGTAATTACTCCATGCTAATTAGCTTGGGGGAGAAAAGGGAGTATTCCTGCATGGGGAAATAAGCATTATTTTAAAACGAAGGCCTAATTAATCAAGCAGTTGTTTAAACATGTGATGGAAAAATTTTTTGAAAAGAGACATTTTCACCTACAGTGTATGTATCGTTTCCTAAGCACGATAAATGCATCAAAGCTTTAAGGAGGTGACACTGGCACATTCAAGTCAAAAGAGAATTAACCAGGAGTGCTCTGCATGTTAAACACATTATTTTTAGTCTCAAATGCTAACTGCAGTGTACTTCATAAACGCGGGAGGATTTCGCTAAGGAAAAGGCCGATACCTAGGATGCTTTCTCTGAACATGATGCATGCGTTCAGACCAGTGACACTGGCCGGGATAGCATCCTGGGCCATGCCATGTGGCCTGTGCCTTGCAGCTGAAACTATTTCCCTTTATCAGGAAAAATGGAGGGACGTTGGATAGGGAGAGATATTAGGGGCACCCAGGAATCAAGTAAACATCTGATGGAGTTTTAACTCAAATGATAAAAACCAACCACAAGGGCAAAATCATACTCACACCTCCACAGCCTGACCCCCCATTCCCCAAGGATCGCCACCCCACTGGACTGGCAGAGCCACAGTGAGTGACAATCTGGAGTTCAGTCCCTGCTCTGCTACTTACTGTGACCTAGAGTCACTTCTCCAAGATGAATTTTTCCGTTAAAAGGGAGAAAAATCCCTACTTAGGTAACAGAGGGGGAGGGGAGGGGAGAAAGAGAAGGGGGTTGAGAATGAAGATAAGAGACAGATGCGCTTTGAAACCCAATGAATCTGTAAAGATGGAGGCTCCGGGCCAGCTGCTAGGATGCTAGGAGGACAGAGTGTCCCTGGGACCCCCGGGACCCCTTGCATCTTAATAACGATGACCTATGGCCTCCTTGGCCTCCCATTTAAGCTAATTTCTTAGGAAAATTACCTTTATCCTCAACTTGAAGGCCACGGAGACCCCCCTCCCCCCCATCTAGACAGAGGAGCAAAGAGAAGCCTTCATGTGGTGTAGCTGCTAACACTGCTATCAATCCAGGAGGGAAGCCTGGAGGCGGAGTCCAGGCCCAGCGTAGGCTCATGCTCACTGAAAGGACACACGCTTGAACACTTCCTCCTGGTGAAATCCGAGAGGCCTTAGAGAGCTCAGCCCCGAACCCCACCCTGGGTCCCAACTGCTGTGTGCCCGGAAGGAATCAGCCACTGGATTTCACCCCACCACCAACGTGATTCATCACTAAAAACCTTCCTTCCTCTGGTCACCACGGGTGATGCCCACTCCGTCTTCCGGGCAAAACAGCTTCCTGTTAAAAGTGCATCGAATCGGACAGACGCCTGCGATAGGAACATTACAAAAATAAGAACACCTCTGTACGTACAAAATGAATTGCGCTCTCTTTTCAGAAACCACAAATGGTTTGTGTTCATAAACCTTTTTAATATATATATATATATATATATATATATTTGAGAGCCCGGAAGCGATCGGAAATGAATATTTCTCTATCTTTGAGTCAACCTCTCGCCCTTGGCCTTTCCTGTGTAGCAAGCTGTGAAGGTTCAAGAAACTTAGCTCTAACCATTCCAAGTCCTGGTTCCGGGATCTCTCTCTTCTGGTTGTGAACCGAACGCCGGCCCACCCCTTTCCGCTCCGTGTGCGATGAGATCTGCTGGGCTGATCAACAACTGGGTCTTTCAACGGGATGGTTCTGAGAGTCGGGCATGAACAGAGCGACAACACACCCCAGGGGACCTCGCACCACCTCGCACGGAAGGTCTGGGACGTATGGCTGTGAACCACGAGCTCCGCCTCTGCATCAGCGCCCGTTTCCAGGTTCGTCTCTCACTCCTTTCCGAGCTCCAAGCTACATGTGTCAGCGGGTCCACGCACACAGGACCCGTTCTCCGTGAGTGTTACCGTGTTGGTCCCCATTTCAAGTATGATGTCCTGCAGGACATTTCGTTTTCAATAGATCGTTGCTCGTTCTCCGAATGCATCAGTACAAGGAGGAGAATATTGTGTTCTTGTTTTCTCGCTTCTGCCGTAAAAACAACGATAAACAAACCTGAAAAGCTGTTCCCCTTCTCCCAGTTGGTTTGGAGAAAGGGGTAGGGTGTCTGCCGTCACAGCCTCACACGCCTGACAGAAGGCGGCCCCTGCTCCAGCGGAAGTCGGCTCTTCTTCCCTTTGCAGCAAACATTGCCTAAGTGACGCCCCCCTCTGGCCCAGAGGAGACACTGGAGGACAACACTCCCATTTTGCAAAGACGTCACTGTCACCGATCCCCTCATCTTTCAGGAACGGAAAGAAAAACCGCACCCAGAAGTCCTTCTGCCCCAACTGTCCCAGAGACGGGGCACGCGCTACACGCCCGTGACCACAAAGATGCTCAAATAGCAACCCCTGCATCTGGCCTTCTGGGGGGCAAAACTAGCTCCGAGGAGGAGGAGGATGCCCGGCAGCCTGGCCCGGGGCCCAAGACCACGATGGCTCTTCCTTCCATGTGAGAAAAGACAGCGGCGGCTGCCCGTGCGGGGGACGCGCGGGGGAGGGGGCGAGGGGAGGACCTAGGCCGGCGTCCATACAGCTCCCGGCGGGCAGGCCCTGCTTTAGTCGTCTTCTCGGCACATGGGCAGGTTGACGAAGGTGAAGACGTTGAACTCGATCATGATGGAGAAGCACAGGAAGATGGCGTAGAGGACCAGCACGTAGACGCCCAGCTTCCAGTCCAGCCTCCATTTGTTGAGATGGATGCCCAGGACCTGGCGGGAGAGAGGGCGACGGTTGGGTGGGTGGAGGGGGGGTGGCAGAGAGATACAGACAAAAGGCCTCTGTACCGGGAAACCCTGTCACTTCCTCCAAAGTGCGGGCTGGAGCAGAGGGGTGATGCCTGTGGGCTTCAGACTTGTCCACGCCAGGCGAGACCCCGGCCTGGCCCTGGGGGACACACGCTAGCTGCCCGCAGGGAACAGGCCCTCCCCATCCCAGCTTTCATCAACTACATCTTCGTTCCTTTGCTTCAGAACTTGGTAGCCTCGGCCTCCTTCAGCGAAACTTCCAAGGCTCCTGTTGGCCCACTTCAGCTTGGACTGCCTTCTCCTACATGAGCATGCATGTGTGTGTGTGTGTGTGTGTGTGTGTGTGTGTGTGTGTGTGTGTTTGGAGGGACAGTTTGGAGCACACCCTCATTCTAAATCCACACCTCCCTGGCAGGGCTATCAAACACTCATAAGTGACTGGGTAGATCCGACGTCATGAAGCATGAGGCTTTTTTTTTTTTTTTTAATGTAAAAACTCACGGTGAGCGCCACGGAGCCCAGCAGCAACACCACGGAGTAGACCAGGCCCCGGCTGTTGATCTTCACCTGCAGAAAAAAACACGGCCTGACTCTGCGGGCTGCTCAGGGCCCATCCGTCCGCAAGCCCAGCGTATCCCCTCCCCCGCCCGAAAGCCTGTCCCAGGTGAGCAGGGGGCTGTGGGCTGTCAGCTGACTGTGGATCAAGTCTGGACTCTGCTTGTCTGAGGGAAGGACCAGGAGGGGGCAGGCCGGGCAGTGGCTGAGAGACAGGGCAAAAGCACCGATGAGGCTGGGCTCAGGGGCTTCCCTTGCAGGCCCCCTCAGGCTGCTCTGGAGGCCTTTGTGGAAAGTGGGCACTAGGTGCCAAGGAGAAGTGTGGCTCCCTGCGCCCTCGGCTGGGAGAGGCCCACAGCACCCTCATTCCCGTGCCCGGTGTCTGGCTCGCTTGCTGAGGAGCCGCGGGAACTTACTGTGGATCCGTAATTGATCACCATGGTCTGCAGCCCCCACGGGATGCCCAGGCCCACGAGGATGTCGAACACGTTGCTCCCGATGGTGTTGGAGACCGCCATGTCGCCCAGGCCTGCAGGGGGCAACGGCCACAGGTCATCCACGAGGAGCAGGTGATGGGGAACCCTTGTTCCTCCCCTAAACTGCTCTGTCAGCACCATTCCTTCCATGCCCCACGTTGCTAAGCCCTTCTTCTGAGACCCAAGACCCAGCCCTCAGGGAGTCTGCAGGGGCCTGGGATGGGCTGAAGGGCGACCCTCAAGGCTCATATGCTGGAGTCCTAATTCCTAAGGCTGGGGTCGGCAAACTGCGGCTCGTGAGCCACACGCGGCTCTTTGGCCCCTTGAGTGTGGCTCTTCCACAAAACACCACGGCCTGGGGAGTCTATCTTGAAGAAGTGACGTTAGAAGAAGTTTAAGTTTAAAAAATGTGTCTCTCAAAAGAAATTTCAATCATTGTACTGTTGACATTTGGCTCTGTGGACTAATGAGTTTGCCGACCACTGGCCTAGGGCCTCAGAATGTGGGCTGGTTCAGAGACAGGGTCTCTGCAGAGATAACCAAAGTGAGGTCATGAGCGTGGGCCCCAATCCAACAGGACTGGTTTCCGTAGGAAAAGGGGAAGCGTGGACACAGACAGCGCGGGGAGGACGGCATGGGGACCTGAAGGTGGTCATCTACAAGGCAAGGACAGAGGCCTGGGACAGGTGCTCCCTCGCAGCCCCCAGAGAGGAGGGGGGCACCAGCTGGCCAGGTGGATGGTGTAATGAGGGAGGGAGGAGAGGACGAGGCCTCTCAGCCTGGCCGGCTGCCCGCTCTGCCCGGGCGGAATCTCTAGCCGGGCTCGCTTCCGAATGTGAGGAAGGCATGACCCCCGTCCCCTCTCTCCAGGGCCACCTTCCCCGCTGGGCGTCTCTCTCCTCCCCCATCTGCTCTGAGATTTCACCCCATAGTCACAACCCTGGCCCCCAGGCTTTCCAACTGTCCCACACGGAGGGAGGCCTGTGGGAGTCTGCGCTGGACGGCAACAGACACCAACACTGGCTCTTGGGTCCCGCCCGCAGAGAGCACGCAGGTCCTGCTCCCCTGACTCCACACATGCTGTGGGGTAAGCCCCAGAGAAACGACCGAACGAGCCAGAACACTGCACACGTTCCAGAACATCGAAGAAGCAGAAGGAAACAGCTGGAGGTACAGGACACCCCCGCCTCCGCCTTCCTGGGACCAGAACATTCCTCGTTACTACCTCGTTAGCTAGAAGCAGTCTGGGCTTCAGCCCGGCTGGTATGGCTCAGTGGTTGAGCATCAAATATGAACCAGGAGGTCACGGTTTGATTCCGTCACGACTCAGACCCTGGTTGTGGGCTTGATCCCCAGTTGGGGGCGTGCAGGAGGCAGCGGATCAATGATTCTCCCTCATCATTGATGTTTCTCTCTCTCTCTCTCCCTTCCTCTTGCTGAAATCAATTTAAAAATATTAAAAAACAACAAAACACACAGCGAAGTCTGGGCTTCAGCCCTGTGTAATCTCACATTGGGGATTCCAGAACAAGTTCATTTTTACACAACTGCAGAGTTCATCCCGGGAGCATTCTCCCCACGGTGGAGCCTGACACGTGTTTTCCAGCCGCCCCAGTTTCCTCCAGGGCTGAGGAAACTGCACGCCCTAAGAGCTGGGAGCTGTCACTGGGGCAGGATGAGGGGCTGCAGCATGGGGCCGATGGTGCTGGAGCTGAGATGCGACAGGTACCTTGTCTCGCCACGATCAAGCTGGCCATGCAGTCTGGAACGCTGGTGCCCGCCGCCAGGAAAGTGATGCCCATGATGACGTCGGGGATCCCAAACGTGTACCCGATAATAGTCACCTGCAGGAGGGGGCGCTGCTTGTCCTGAGGGCTTTTCATTTGGACACAGTCCTGCTGTGACCAATGACAAAGCCCGGAACAGGGTTTTGTTTTAAAAACATCTTACGTTGCCCTGACCGGGTTGGCTCAGTGGATAGAGCGTCGGCCTGTGGACTCAAGGGTCCTAGGTTCGATTCCTGTCAAGGGCATGTACCTTGGATGCAGGCACATCCCCAGTAGGGGGTGTGCAAGAGGTAGCTAATCGATGTTTCTAACTCTCTATCCCTCTCTCTTCCTCTCTGTAAAAATTCAATAAAATATATTAAAAATAAATAAACAAATAAATAACATGAGTGTACTTCTCTACCCCTCCCCCCATTATAGGAGTAATATGCATTTTGGGGAGTGCCACCAGGAGGGCGGGATGTCCTTGTCTCAGAGCGCAGGGCAGAGCACACACGAACCGGCCTGCTTGGGCTGAGCAAGAAGAGACTCTGAGGAGGCCTGACCCACCGGCGCTTCACCCGCGTGGCCACGAAGGCCTTCGCAAGCACTGCAGGCTGTGGCTGACGGGTTTTAAGGTCGTACCCGACATCACACACCCAGGACCTGGGTTATCTCGCGTTCCTGGGGATGCCTCCATTTTCTTTCTCCAATCATCTTACTACCTAGCTGAGAACTTGAAGGATGGAAGGACAAAGGAAGTGTGTGTGTGTGTGTGTGTGTGTGTGTGTGTGTGTGTAAGTGTGTGTGTGTGTGCACTCTGTCCAGGTGTTCAGGAGCAAAGATGCTACCAACTGTCGCTTTGCCCTGGGGCCTCCCTATCCTTCCAGAGGCTCAGTCTTCTCTTGTCCTCTGTCTCCCCAGCTGTGCCAGGGTGCTAGCCAGGATGATCCATTTAGATGTCCCTCCATTTTGACACGTTCAATAATTTTTTTTTTTATTGTCTAAAGTTTTACATAGTTTTATTGTCTTTTCCCCCAATTGACTACCTTCAGCCATTTCAACCCGGGCAAGCCCCCACTGCCCCAGTGTCTGTGTCCATTGGTTATGCTAAAATGCATGCATGCAAGTCCTTTGGTTGCTCTCTAACTGACCCCTCTCCCCTGCTATTGGTCGCTGAATCTATTCTTGCTTATCAAGTTATATTGATCATTATATCCCACATGGAGTGAGATCATGTGATATTTATCTTTCTCCGACTGGCTAATTTCGCTTAGCATAATGCTCTCCAGTTCCATCCATGCTGCTGCAAATTGTAAAAGTTTCTTCTTTTTTTATAGTGTTGCGGCATCGTATTCCATTGTGCAGATGTACCACAGTTTTTCAATCCACTCCTCTGCTGATGGGCACTTGGGCTGTTTCCAAATCTTAGCTATTGTAAATTGTGCTGCTATGAACACAGGGGTGCATGTATCTTTTCTGATGGGTGTTTCTGGTTTCTTGGGACATACATTCAATAATTTGTTCCCACAAAGGGCTGCACATCTTGCTTGGGTAGAAATTAGGCTAACATGGGGCCTGGCCTGGTGGCTCGGTTGGTTGTAGCATCATCTGTACACCAACAGGTCATGGGGTTGATTCTCAGTCGGGCACATACACAGGTTGCGGGTTTGATCTCAGACAACTGATCAGGTTTCTCACACTGGTGTTTCTTGCTCTAATAATAATAATAATAATAATAATAAATATATATCCTCAAGTGAGGATAAAAAAAGAAACTAGGCTACCCCGTGGTACTCCACTATTGTCTGTAGTAGAAATTCCCTTAAACGAAGGCCAGCTGAAGTCCACAGCCACAGGGGAGAGGCCTGAGCAAGGAGGGTCCTCGGACATCCGCCAGGCCGTTTGCTAAGACTCTGCTTTAAGAAGTGGGGGTGGGGCAGACTAGAAGGGTCAATGGGGGAGAAAGGGGGACATATATACTTTCAACAATAAAGATTTAATTTAAAAAGGGGGGGGTAGAGTTACTAAGTGTCCAAACTCACTGCTAATTAGCAGGAATGATTTAATAATACTGTATTTTCAGTAATTAGAGAAGAAAACAATTTCACACATTCGTTAATTTCATCTCCCCTAATTCTCATCCCCACTCAACTATCATAAAATGCTATTTAAAAAAAATTTTTTTTTTACTGCTATGGGGATGCATTTTAGTAAGAGACACCACTGGATTTTTAAAAAACCAAATGTAAAGATGGGCTGGCCTTTAACCCTACTGGGAAAACTTTAAGTTTGCAAATTTACATTCCTCTAAGGCAGTGCTCGGCAAACTCATTAGTCAACAGAGCCAAATACCAACAGTACAATTATTGAAATTTCTTTAGAGAGCCACATTTTTTAAACTTAAACTTCTTCTAATGCCACTTCTTCAAAATAGACTCGCCCAGGCCGTGGTATTGTGTGGAAGAGCCACACTCAAGGGGCCAAAGAGCTGCATGTGGCTCGCAAGCCATGGTTTGCCGACCACTGATTTAAGGCATAGTTTTTGTTATCTCAGACTGACATCCTTTCTGGAAAATTTGGGTAATAGCTAGATCCAGCTCTTCTCCCACCCAAACACACACGCAGGCGCACACATGAGCACAAACACATATACACATTAGCATACATGCACACAGGTGCACACACACTAGCACACATGCGCACATGTGCGCACACGTACACACACAGCAGCATCCATTTCGCCTGCATCTGACCAAGCATGGAGCGGCAGTGCTGGCTGCGTCTCATGGTGCAGGCAGCTGATGTGCACAGTTATGAGCAGTTTTCTCTGCTGCCCGCTCAGAGCATGGCACCTGCGCAGAGACCTCTCCTTCCCGTCACCTTGTCAGACAGAGAGGATTTTCCTGTTTTGGAGAGGGGGGCCATGGTTCAGAGATGTTGGGCACCTCCCTAAGTCTCATGGAACCTAAGTGGCAAAACGAGGGTTCAAATCCACTGCCATGTGACCCCTCAGTCCACCTTTCCTCATCACGCTGCTCCCCTCCGGCTGAGGGAGCGGTGGCCCTTCTGCCTCTGAAACCAAGGCTCGCTCGCCCTTTCGGCAGCGGCACCTGGTGTGAGGAGGGGGAACCCTGCCAGTGAGCTCCACAACAGAAATGCAGCCATCCTGCACCGCGTCTGCTCTGTGTGCTCCTGGCCTCCCCACATGGAAGGGGGGGCGGGGGGATAGGGAAAAGAAGGAGGGAGAAAAGATGGAAGAGGGAAAAGAAAGGAAGGACCCTATAAGGGAGTCCTCGGTAGCCCAGCCAATGAAGGTTTGTACTGAGAGCTGTGATGCGTGCCCGGAGGAGCTGACCAGGACCTATGCCCGGGCCTCTCCACCTGCAAAACTCCAGCTCAAACGGCCCTGAAAATTCCAGCAATAAACTGAGAGGCAGTTCAGGACGGTGGGTTGAGATCATGGACTCAGGAGAACAACAGACCAGGCTCTAATCCCAACCTAGAACTCACTAATGACGTAACTAATTGTGTTATTCGATGCTAACTGTGTAACTAACTGGGCAAATTACTCAATCTCTCTGCCTCAGTTTCTTCATCTGTAAAATGCACATCATAAAAATGGTTGTTATGGCCGAAACCGGTTTGGCTCAATAGTAGAATGTCAGTCTTCAGACTGAAAGGTCCCAGGTTCGATTCCGGTCAAGGGCATGTACATTGGTTGCGGGCACATCCCCCGGTAGGGGGTGTGCAAGAGGCAGCTGGTCGATGTTTCTCTCTCATCGACGTTTCTAGCTCTCTATCCCTCTTCCTCCTCTCTGTAAAAAAATCAATAAAATATATTTTAAAAAAATAAAATAAAATAAAAAATAAAAATGGTTGTTATGAGGACTAAGAGAGTTTATATACAGTCTGTACATGTGCCTGAACACAGAAGGGGGAGAGGAACATCCCTTGCCAAGGAGCATAGAAGGGCTGCTTGCCTTCATCTCCCACTAACTCCAGTCTCCCTCACATTCCCCAGGGACCCTGGAAAGGATGGGGACTTAGTGATAAGCTCTCTAAGAGCTCTTCACAGCAACATCTTCAAGGAATCAGGCCCAGTCCTTGACTTCCAGTCCATGCCATCCCGCCATATTATCTGCCCATCCTGCCGGGTGCAAAGGCTCATCTCCATCCTGCCATGCCTGCAATGCATGCAAATGCCACATTGTATCTGTCTGGGCATCCCTGGTGCACAGCTCAGCAACATGCACCTCTGCCAATACCCCTTCTCACTGAAAAATAAGCCAAGGTCGGGGGGAGGGGGCAACTAGCTCAAGATGGCACAGCAGTGCCTGAGTTCACTCTCCCGCCTCTAGCAGGTGCTGGGCAGAGGCTGTCTGTCCGGTCCACCCGGCCCCCGCCACTCACCAGCCACACCATTAGGTAGGAGAAGACGGCGATCCACAGCGTGGCGGTGAGGAAGGTGACCATGAAGAACTTCTCCCAGCGCGGCTTGCTGCAGTTGGGGATGGTAACGCACAGGAGGAAGATGAGCGGCCAGGTGAACACCCACTTGGCTTTGTCCCCGCTTGCCTCTGCCGGGGGAGGGGACGGAGCAAGAAGGGAAGAGAGAGAAGCACACACAGGGTTACACACCTATCAGTCTACCTGTCTGTCTATTTATTTTAAGTCAAACAAGAGAATGCTGCCAATGTGACTCTGAGCAGCTGATCTCATAGCATCACATACCTCCATAAGGTCACCGCAAACGTGCTCTTAGCAACACAACCCATTAAGTATGTGTTGATTGAGTAACTTCAGTTGGTCCAAATTCTTCAGCGTAAGGAAAATGAGACCCCGAGTGGGAACAGACGTGCCCAGGGTAGCAGGATGGGGATGTGGAATTTGGATGGGCTTTGGAATCAGACAGACCTGGGTTGGTATTCAAATGGCCTGAAGGAATCTCATCAACTCTCCTCTGATAATAACAGCTGCAGTAGCAATAACAACATAATATTCAATGCATGAAATATTTGCTATGTGTACCAGGCCCAGTCCTAAGTTCTTTGTCTTTAATAGTGTCTCCATCTGTTCAATGGGAACATTCTCTCTTTCTTGGTTGTGGCAAGAAGGATATGATACGATGTACGTAACACACTCCCACGTACACAAAACACTCAGCAAAGAGAGAGCCAGCCTGGCACACGGTAAGTACTCTGGAAATTTCAGCTTCTTTGCTCCAAGGTCACACACTCAGCCCTCAGCAGATGCAAGACTAAAAAGCGGGCGTCCTGGCTGGCGGGTATGACCTCACTGGCTGCTACCAAAGGAATCCACAAACACTTCATCCAAGGAAAGTCGTCTCCAAAAACCACCAAGTACAAGCGTGGTGTGCTTCATGAGCCACTGGGCATGGTGTGCATAGGCAGGCTCAGAACCAGCTCCTGGGTGATGCCACTGAAACGTGGAGGGGACCTCGAAAATGCTCTGCTCCATAGAGGCAGCGAAAAAACCGGCCAAAGTGGTCACAATCCACCCTTTTCAGACCTTTTGAAACTAACCAAAGACTTGGAGCAATCCAAGGAGTGGTTCCTTAAGAATACTGACTGGGTCTCAGTAAGAACAGCGAGCTCTGTGGCGTTTTAACTTGCCCTGTTTCCATTCCCTCTCACCAGCTCTGCAGAAGCCTTGAAGACAGCAGCCGGGGCTCCACTGGAGGGCGCAGGAGAAGGATGTATTTGGGGGCATCTTTCCAAGTCCATCCCCAGAGAAGGGGCATTATTTGACCTGTCTGGTGCAATCTTGGAAGGTCCCGCTTCCAGGGCTGTCCCTTTACCTGAACCAGAGTTCAGCCAATGTGAATAGCCTCTTCCTGGGGGCATTTGTTGAAAACAATCAGAGGCCATGGTTGAGCATCATACTGCTGAAGGTGGTGGGTAACAGGACAGACAAGCGTGAACCAAAAAACATACAAGGAAAAGCTGGGGAATGTGGTATCTATGGAGGGCTTCGCAAAGCTCCTACATATTTCTGGGAATCTAAAAACCACAAGCATGTGTAGGGCTGTGTCAAGGATTATTTGAATGCTCAGGAAAACCTTGAGAATGCTCTAAGCTTTCACCCTCACCTAACGTTGAGGCTCTGAGCGAGGAAGAAGTAAAGGCTGTAGTGGTGTTGTAAACGGCCTGCTTGAGTATTGCCCCCAAATACACAGAACCCATCAGAGATGACTCGGAGACTCACTGGATCCAGACATCTCAGGAAATCCCTGCGCAATCATTAGATAACCCTGGGCTAACCTAGCATGTATTTCAGTGACCACACGCAACAATAAAAAATACAAGCTTTATGGAATTATTTGAGAAAAGTCACTAAACAAAAGACAACAATAAATTACAACAATAAGCAGACTTGAAGGGAGAAGAGTATGTTTTCTAGAGTTGTCAAATTATATTATTCTAAATGTCCAACAACAATAAAAAACAACAATTTAGGAGACATGCAAAGAAACAAGAAAGTACAGCCCATACACAGAGGGAAAAAAGCAGTCATTAAGAACTATCTCTGAGAATTTTAAGACACTGGATTTACTAGACAAAGACTTTAAATCAGATATTTTAAAATATGCACAAAGAAGTATTTTTTTAAATGCCTAAAAAATGAAAGAAAAGTATGAGAATAATTTATCATCATAGACTATCAGAATAAAAAGTAAAAAGTATGAAAGAGTCAAAAGAATTCTGGAATTGAAAAGTACAATAACTAAAATGAAAAATTTACTAGAGAGGCCCAACAGTAGATTTGAGTAGGAAGAAGAAAAATATCATTAGCCTTGAAGTAGGTCAATTATCTTGTCTCAGGAACAGAAAGAAAAAGAATAAAAAGAAATGAACAGTGTCTCAGAGACCTATGGCACACCATCAAACATGTCAACATGGGCTCAATGAGGGTGCCAGGCAGAGAGGAGAGAGAATAAGAGGAAGGAAGAATACTTGAAGACTCATATTAAAAAACTCCCCAAACCTGATGGAAAACCTTAATATCTACTTTCAAGAATACACATTAATCTCAAATTCACATGAAACATTTTCCAGATTAAATGATGTTACATCATAAAACAAGCATCAAGAAGATTAAAAGGATTTAAATCATGCCTAGTATGTTCTATAATCATTCCACAATGGAAAGAAATTAGAAATCAATAGCAGAAGAGAAATTGGAAGATTCACCAATATGCGGAAATTAAATAACACACTTCTTAATAACCAATGGATCAAAGAAGAAATCACAAGGGAAATTAGAAAATACTTTGAGATGAATGAAAATAACAACATCACATACCAAAACCTTGGGGATGCAGTTAAAGTAGTACTTAGAACTTTATAGCTGGAAATGACTATATTAAAGATCTTAAATCAGTGACCTAATTTCTTCCTTAAGAAACAAAAATTGGAGAGCAAATTGAATCCAAAGAAAACAGAAAGAAGGAAATAATTAAGATTGAAGTGGAAATAAGTGAAAAATAAAATTAAAAAATGAAAGAATCAATGAAACTAAAGGTTAGTTGTTTAAAAAGATCAACGCAATTGACAAACCTTTAGCCAAAATGACCAAGCAAAAAAAGAGAAAAGATTCAAATTACTAAAATCAGGAATGAGAGGAGGTCATCACCTTGAACCTCAGAGAAATAAAAAGAATTATTAAGGAATATGATGAATAATTGTGCCCAAGGAATTACATTATGTAGGTACAACAAACAAAATTCTACAAAGACAGGAACTTATCCAAACTGACTAAAGAAGATAGAAAAGCTGGATAGATTTATAATAAGAGATTGACATAGTAATAAAAATAAATAAATAAATAAAAAACTTCCTTTAAAGTAAAGCCAGGGCCAGATGGCTTCCTGGTGAATTTCTACCAAATGTTTAAAGGAGAATCAGCATGAATCCTTCAAATATTCTTCCAAAAGATAGAAGGAGAGGGAACATTTCCAAGCGCTCTCTATGAAGCCACTGTTACCCTGATATCAAAGCCAGACACCAAGAGGACAGAAAACAGCAGACCAATATCCCTTATGAAGACAGATGCAAAAACCCTTCACAAAATTCTGGGAAACGGAATCCAATAACATATAAAAATGATTATACATCTGGACTGAGTGGGACTTATCACAGGAATACAAGCTTGGTTCAACATATGAAACTTAACCCATCCAATATACCAGGGTAATACAATAATGGGCAAAACTGCAATCATGTCCTTCGAAGCAAAAAAGGCATTTGACAAAAACTAACGCCTTTTCATCATAAAACACTCAATGATCTAGAAATAGAAGATAATTTCCTCAATTCGGTAAGGGGCATCTACAATGAACCCATAGTTAACATCATACATAATGGTGAAAGACTGAAAGCTTTCAACAGGTGAGGATATCTGCTCTCACCCTTTAGACTAGCTCAGCATTGTGTGGAAGGTTTAGCTGGGGAAACGAGGCCAGAAAAAGACACACGTAAAAGTCACTCAGATTAGAAAGAAAGAAGGAAAAGTATCCCTATTTGTAGATGGCATGGTCTTATATAAAGAAAATTCCAAGTAATACATACACAAAAAATAATTAAAACTACAAAGAAGGTCAGCCAAGTTGCAAGATACAAGATCAATATACAAAATCCAGGTGTACTTCTAGACAGTAGAAACGACCAATCCAAAAATGAAATTAAGGAGATAATTTACCAAAGCATTACAAACAAAAAAATGTTTATGAATCAGTGCAACAAGAGAAGTACATGATTTACATGCTGAAAATTATCAAATCTCATTGAAGAAAATTTGAGACGAACTAAATACATGGAAAGACGTACTGTACAGGGATCAAAAGACTTAATATTAAGATGGAAATAGTCCCCAAACTGATCTACAGATATATATATATTAACTCCTATTAAAATTCCAGCTGACTCTTTTTGCAGAAATTGATAAGCTGATTCTAATATTATTATGAAAATGCAAGGGAACCAGAATAGCCAAACCCATCTTAAAAAAAGAACAAAGTTAGGAGTTCTCTGGCTTAAACCTGCCTGAAGCGGGTTTCTCTAACATTAAGCGGGTCTGAACTAATTCATGGTTTCATTGGTAACAGGGTCCGGGGCTACTGGGGTAATGGAACAATGTCCATACCCAGGGACATCGTCCCAACACCACCAGGAGCCCCTTCTGGTCAGAGACATCTGAGAAATGCTCCTATCATGGGCTCTGATAACATGCAAACATCAGCAAGAGGGAAAAGCGCTGCTATTGTTCTTTCCCCAAGCTTTCAGAGTTCTCTTTTGAAGTAGAAAATGACAATTTAATTATGTAAAAAGATCTTTAACATGAACTGTAACAAAACAGATGACTAATCATGGTGAAGGATAAATTATGAACAGATGCAGCTGCTTGTGAAAAACTTCAAACAAATTAGCTTGGACAGTCAACTAACTAGACAGTCCAACGAAGGGAGTGGTTAACTTGAGGCACGTGGGGAAGTGGGTGTCCCTGGACGCTGTCAAGTACATACTCACGGACCCTGGACCTAAGAGTGTTTTCGTGATCT